AAGAATACGACTTTTTTCGACATCACGCTGAAATAAATTATAAAGTTAAGAATTTGAATTCTTAAATTCGATTTACAATTTGACTAGAATTCTAGAACAGTGCATATCTCATGTGGGATAAAGACTTAAATTTTGAACCTCGAAGAAATATATGGAATAAGACCGCCGACATCCGGCATAAATAATAAGTGCTGCAAGTATGACCAATGTATTCAAAGCCGTAAATACAACGCAGTCCATAATTTTCAGGGAGAGATCCAAAAATTTTATACACTGAAATTTATAAATATATAACACTTTCATTTATTCAATACAATCTAACCCTTTTATCGTCTTTACGAATAACTCTTAAAAAAATATTCCAAAAATAAAAAATTTCCCCGTTATGGACCAAATTTCTCGACCACAAACAAACCCTAATAGGGCAAAGTAGCAAACCATATAGATGAAATCCGGATTATTCATTGAGAAGGGTAGTTTTATACGGAAGAGAACCGGTAAGAAGACATCAGAGGAGGGAGCAGAAGGTGTATGTTTGTTTGTTTATTTCATTTATTTCATTCAACAGCATGAGGAGGAGGAAAATGGAGAAATGAGACAATCCATAAGAAGAGAATGAAGGATTGGTATAATGTAAGACAAAAGGAAAAGGAGAGGAAGACGGAATACGAAGAGTACAGCATATAGAAAATCCGAGAAATGCATTCAGATTTCACTATTTATAATTTAAAATCAATTTACGAAGATTAATGAAATAACAAGGGATTGATGGGGTGAATTATCACGATAATAAATTGAGGAAATGGATGGAAAGAGGAGGGGATTAACATCAAAAATCATCACATCTAACATCTCAACAAAATCTTCCATTAATTTTAAATCGAAGTTTAAAGTGAACGGACAAAACCATTAACTCATGAGATAGCAATAACGTTTCAAATTTTTACTGATCATATACACTCATTCACATACGCTTTGTTGACATACTTGCACTCATATGTACACACGCAGACACACACACACACACAGATACAGACACATACACACACAAACACACACAAAACTTGATTGCATTTGCACAGGTACGAAAAGAAGAATTTGCAAATGTGATGAGATGCAGCGCAGGTATTTCGAATGACATGCTTGTTAAATCTTTGATATAAAGGATGCGAAAGAGTGTCGTACAGTTTTCGCGGAAAATGTCGCAAATTTTATCCTTGCCTCAATGACATTATAGAAAGATGGTAGCTTTACTTGGCTCAAATGACAAGTAGCCTTAATTCGTGCTCTAAGATTAAATGGAAGAATATAGCTTGAACTTCATTTATCATATTTTGCAGTGTTACATTACGAAAAGTTTCGTACGAACTTATATGTAATGTGAGATGTAGCGGAAATAAGAGAAATTAATAAAGCAAATTGATTAATTAACTGATTACCATGAATTACTCGGGAAATATTGTAATGAAGTAAGATGTCTCTTTTTTTTGTCCTTTTTTGTTTAGAAATTATAATTGGACTAAGGAAGACACTGTTATAACGATGATAATGACGATGATGATGATGATGATGATGAATGATGATGATTGATGATGGTGATGATGATGATGATGCTGATGATGATGATTAGCTAAATGTGTTCTTTTCACGATGTTGTCATTTTTTCTTGATTGGCACTGCGGTAAAGATTTATTGATAGATAGGAGAAATATTCTTAGTATACAACTGAATCGAATTACACAATTAACGGATTGAGTGATTGAACTGAATGAGGAATTGCTAAGTTAATGACTAAAGTGAAGTTTCTTTATACACTGGAAGGACATTTAGCCATTGATCTTTCTCTAGTGGGAATTTTACCACCATTAAACCTTTGACCTTTTGCATTGTAAAAGTTTGTTTATAACATTCGGACAATTACACATAAAATTCTTGCAGCATTCGACAATTTGCGCATAAAGTTTTGCACAACATCAGCTGATTTATAACATCTTTAAAACATGTATTAATATTGTAAAAAATATTTTGATTTTTTCAACAAAATAAGTATATACAATTTCATGGGGAAATATTTAATGATGAATGATTGGATTAATTTTCAACGGAACAATAATTTACTTTTCCACTTATTTCCAATCAAACATCATCTATTACAAGATGCATATAGAAGAAAAATCAGCTTTCCTGATCCAGTCATAAAAAAATTTTTTGTCCCTCTTACATATGTATAGCATTTCCGGTTTATTATTTCGAATGAACCGTACAGCTTTGGTATTTATTATTTTCCGTGGAATAAACTGAGATTATCAGTTATTTCATACGCGAAAAATTCCTTAATGAGGAAATTTCTAATTAATTTTATTACCACGAATTTACTTTTATTTACCTTCCATTAATTAAATATCAACTGAAACTGCTCTTCTCTCGCTCTCTCTCCTTTTTTATTCTTTCTTTCTCTCTTCCTCTTTTTTCTCTCTTCTTGTATCATTCTTTTTATAGAATTTAAAGAGAATGTTAGAATTACTAAAGTATGAGAATAAAATGAAGCATTGATTTTTCTGTCCTTTTTTTTTTTAATACTTTTCGTCTTGTGGCCAATACACAACAAACTACCAATAAAATAAATCGATAGCGTATAGTGAAAGGCAAATAATTGTGAAGCCCTAAAAAGAAGCTTAGTAAAAACAAAAAAAGAAAATATATGGCTTTAGACTTAGACTTCGGCTTAAGCCTATCTCTTATGAGTTTATTAATACTTTTAGAATATCACTTATATACAACTTTTCTTTTTTTACATATATCCTTTCCATTTTCATAATATTTTTTGTTCATGCGCATTTGGCTTTATTCAGGATATTCGCATTCGTCCCTTATTCAATTCATAAATAAATGCTTTATCCATGAAAGCGCATCAATTCTCCTCTCCATTTCAATTTCACAACTCATTTTCTTTTCAATTCAATGAATTCGCCTTCTTCCTCTTCTTCTTCTTTTCTGGTAAATTGAAAAAAAAAGAAATATTAAACTACTATTATTTTAATTTAGTTAAATTTAAATGATTGTGATCTCCTCCTCTTCCATTAATTTACTTCGACAATTAGTAATTTCATTTGGCTATTAAACAAAATTATTAAGCTACCATTAATTTCATTCAATCAAATTTAAATTATTTTAAATGATATGATCTTCCCTTCCATTAATTTATTTCGATAATTATTAATTTAAGCAAAATTTACATATAATTTCACTTCTTCCATATCATTTCAATTGTTCCATTGTGTGTTTTTTAATCACTAGCATTTTATGATTCGTGCAAATAAGAATACATACTGAAAATAAAAATTAATGAATGAGAAAAGAGGAAAAGTTACGCCTGTTGCTTGTTATTGCACAAGGAAGCAAAAAAAAAAGAAATTTATTGGTGAAAATAGCTATCATTTAGAATTAATGGTCTTTTTTTTTTTCTTTTACAACACAATGAAAATTGAAGAGTTTGCGATAAAAGCTATTTGGAAAATATATGTTTTATATGTTTGATGATACAAATAAACTATAAAATTAAAACAGCCTAATTTTCTCATATAAGAAAACAAAATTAAAATTATTACTGCTATTAATTCCGTGATTTGAAAAGATGAAACTAATTATTAGATTATCTTTCTTCCCTACTTTCAATAATGTTCAAAATTTTGCAACAACAATTGAAGTCAATCATTATGATATTTGTTGAAAAAAAAAAAAAGTAAACGCATTCGCAACATGTCACCAAACCTATTCGAACACTATTATCAAAATCATTCAGTGTGGTAGCTACGTGTGCTTGCTGATTTCATCACTTTCATCATTTATCATATCGTCCAGTTTTATCACTTCCTGCATCTTCTCAAATGGTAGTACTTTCTTTATTATTATATACATATTATTACTATTAAACATGCAATATTTATGGATATTTTCAATACCTAACAAAATGATCTGTAACAATTATCTCCTAAAGTATGGTTATATTTAAACATTCACAACTTCTCTTCAATAATTACTTTTTAAATATGATTAATTGTATCAACAAATTGCAGTGATTACTACGGAATATTGATGTAAAGTTTGTTTTAAGGTGGAAATTTTTAATTCAAAATACCGTAGTGGAGGAATGGTATGAAAGAGAAATAATTCTTTTTTTTTTTTACCATGAATAAACAGATCGAAATTGCAAACTGTAAACTATTTGATATAATCTAGTAGGTAAAAGTTCTTTTCAGAAATAGCAGTCCAGGAATTGCTCTTCGTCAGAGCAAAATGCGAATTTTCTTGGATTAGTTTCGGGAATGATTACATTGCATATGTACCTGAAGTATGCGATCGGGCTGCTGCTTACCCCAATACATATTTATTTAGCGGATAGAAATTCGTTATCGATTTGTCTTACGATTTTTCTCTCCCGTTTGGACATAAATTGCTGAGCATGTCACACCGTTTTGCAATCCGGATTGCTTATCGGGATGTTCCTTCGGAACCGTACAGCATCACTGTGGAATCTCAGAAGACGAAAAAAATGTTATTGTTCCAGTCCTCGGCAATTACGACAATCTGTATGTTCATCCAGATTTTAAAAAGTTTGGTATAAGTGGGGTTTTCGATAATTATAAAAATACGTGAAGTCAGTAAATTATTCGAACTTTCGAAAATGGATTTATCCTCCATTTCATTGCTAGTTTTCTGATTTTTTTCCCGTCTAGTTTTCTGAATTTAGATGTGAAAAAGCAAGAAATTTTTGAAGCAGCAAATCTGCTTTAAAAACTCCCAGCCTTTTTAAAATTCATACCCTAATCTGATGTTTCCAGTTAATGCTGAGTCACTGTCAGAATTAAGGAAGAACTATACAAAACTTATGGATGCCAGAGGTTTACTGGGTGTGCTACGAACAGGCCAAGGTTCCTTTTCCCTTCTTTCCTTTTTTTTTGTTTCGTAGTAACATCTTGCAGCTGTATTTAATTCGAAGACTTCCACAAATTTACTCTGGATTTTAATGAAGAACGAGTAATGTTGTGAGATAGTATAGTGTTTCTATATCAAGAATAAAGCTTCAGATGATGCTCATCTATTAGCAATTACTGAAGATGAAAGTGTTGGTGAATTACGCAACTGTAAAATTTATCGAATTTGGGGCGTAAATGCGATATCGCTTAAAGGACCTGCTGCGACATGTCCAACGGATCCACGTATAAATGATGTAAGCTGTGAAAGTTTTAATTGCATCCATTTTCAATAAATTTATTTCGTAGAGTCAACTGTGATGGATTGAGATGTAGAGATTATTTGAATATGGAAACAGCTCTAACTGATATCTAGAAAATTGTTTTACTTTTCGAGATAATGGGTATTGTTAAGTCATCTCTTTCAATTGGGTTTTCACCTGTTCCAAAGTTATAATTGGAAGTATTATATTCCTTTATTAGCTGGACTTTAATTCGTTACAGGTATTACGTCTATTTTCATCAGGCAGTTTCTATTATGCTTCTCAGGACGATGCCAGTCGGTGTATTGATTTAACTGTCAGATCTCATAAGTGCTCAAACTTTTCGAACGGCGACAGCCGTTTCTTTTGGTCAGTCTTGGTGCTCGGTTATAACTTGTTATATAAGTTATAATCATTTAGACTATCAAAAGGATTTAACTGTTCAGGAATAAACATCTACATTATCCGTTGAAACGATACAAGATCGATGTAAATGAATGGCTGTTACGGATAATTTGCGGAGCGGTCGTCATATGTCAAGTATATGTGGGGCAGCAAAGAGCTACGGTCGCATTAATTTCTCGTTTAAGTTGTGAACGAGTCGGAACACGTTTCAACGTGCGTGGTGTAGACGACGATGGTCACGTGGCCAATTTTGTTGAAACCGAACAGGTATTTGGAAATTCATAGATCTTCTGGATGGATAGTTATGCCAACAGAAATCTTAATTTTCGGGATAGAGATTCGACGAAATATATCTTATGATTGCTTTTGTCTTGCAGGTCATTACTTTGGGTACTGACGAGATCTCATTTGTTCAAATAAGAGGATCTGTTCCTTTGTTTTGGGAACAACCGGGCATTAATGTTGGTTCACATAAAGTGAAATTAAGAGCTTTTGAAGCTTCTTCTCCCGCATTTAACAGGTTCATCATTTAAGAAAACGTAACAGAATTTCACTTTTGAGAGGGACCGGTCAAAAAATTATCCCCTAATTATTGGATTCAAATATCCTGATTCCCGAACTTCCATTATTCACTTTCCAGACATTTTCGTGCACTAAAGGAGGAATATGGTGAAGTAACTGTAGTAAATCTTCTCGGTTCGAAAGAAGGCGAAACGCTACTGTCGAAGGCATACGAAGTTTGTTTTATTTAATTCTATAAAATTTCTGATCGTTTACTAACATTTCTACTTTTTCTATAGTTTATTGCACTGCTGCAACAATTTTTTGATGTATTGCTGCAAAAATTAAAATCCACAGTAGATAAAAGCAGTCTCTTCCGTGTGAATAATTACTAAACTAAGAAGTTCAGGACAAGCAGTATCGTAAATTTTACTGCTTTAATATTTTGTTTCTACCGCTACATTTACAGGCGCATTACAAGAATTCAAATTGTGTCGCTGGTTATATTTCCTTTGATTACCATGAAGAAAAAAGGAACTGTATGAAATTAATGGAGAGATTAAAACCGAAAATTCTAGATTGCATGTTTTATAGACAGCGAAACGGCAATGTTTTATGGTCTGCTTCAATTTTTTTTATTTATCTAGTTAACCTAACTGATATTTATTAAATTATTTGCCGTTCATTTGTTTGGTGATTTCTCATCTCATAGGTGTAGCAATAACGACGGTGATCTCCACTGAGGATCAGCAAAGTTCATTTTCGTTCTTAGCTACTGCTTCATTAATCCATAAGTAGTGTTGTGATGAAGACTAACTGTGATTCTTACTACCTATCAATTGTGGTATAGATGCCATTTACTTTATTCTCTTAATCAAAATAGTGAATTCTGAGCACACTTTTCTTTTTCTTGGAAAATTAACTTGGATGGGAAGGGTGCTATTCATTCGTATGTCGTAATTAATCCCATGAATTCATTTAATTTTTTTAGCAACCAAAATGGTGTCATTCGGGTAAATTGCCTCGATTGTTTGGATAGAACTAATGCGGTCCAGACTCTTATAGGATTCCAGGTACTTTTGTATTTCTTATTCCACTTTTCATAGTTCTGATGATATGGAAATTGCATCAGAAACGGTGCTTTCAGGTATTGGTTATACAGTTGGAAAGTCTTGAAGTTGACAAAAAATATTTCGCGCGATTTGAAGAGCATTTAAAAGATATATGGCAGCGAAACGGTGATTCATGTAGTGTAATTTATGCTGGGACTGGTGCACTGGAAGGGAAAAGTAAAGTAAGTGTTCAATCTTGATGTTTTTTTTCCTTTTCATTGCAGTATTTGTTTAACCATGATAATTTGTGAGTGATGCAAAAATTCCATGCTTAGATGAAAGATGCTAAAAGAACATTGGTAAGAGCAATCCAAAACAATTTTTTGGATGCATCGAAACAAGAAGCATTCGAATTTCTACTTCACGGAACATTTATTTGTGATAGTTCGTATAACGAACTAACCTACTTGATGCCGCGTGATATTCTACTAGGTAAATCTTGAAAATGACTTTAAAACATTGCATGCTTTTTATACACAATTTTGTTTAAGTAAAAAACATGCACTATGAGAATTTTGTTGCTTCTCGCTCTGTATTTTGTTTCGTTGCTTGTTTATTTAAATATTGCACAATTCTAGTGTTTTAGAACATCCATCGGTAGTGAAAGATTTAGTGGAACGAAAAATGGAAATGATGGAAAACGTTCCGCTGACTATTTGGGTTGGGACTTGGAACGTAAATGGTGGCAAGAATTTTTCTGATATTGCTTTTCGTAACCAAACAAATTTGTCAGATTGGTTATTCCCACAACATTTCCATGGTACATTATTTATGAATGTTTCTGAATGTCTTTTCAGTGACGGAAAATGTTTTTTTCTTTTTCAAGAACAAGAAATGTTTTTCCAGTGACCTGTTTTCATTGAATTTTGTCCTTGAAAAGAGGAGGGTTATAGTTGTGAGGATATATCGATATTTGTAATGGTTGATTGTGGCATAGGAACTTATTTATTCACTCTCACTATCATCAGATTTTCGAGTATCAAATTATCTTTGTTCAGTTAACTTGTCGCATACAATTTAACTTTTAGGGCTTGGCGGAGAAAACTCTACTACACCAGATATGTATGTTGTTGGCCTGGAAGAAATTATAGATTTGAATGCTTCAAATATAGTTAGCGCTAGGCAAGCTTCTTACCTTCCTTATCACAAGAAATTATCTGTGTAGAACAGTGTTTCCTAACCTTATCTTGACCAGAAAACACTTTGGTTTTTTTACATCTGGCACAACTCACAACATTCGGAAATGATAAATTCTGTTAGTTTAAAAATGAATTTTAATCCAAAGTTTTGGCAAAAAATTTTTCAATATTAGTTTATCAAACATTGATAAGAGTAGTTCCGGCTTGTTTTCTGCCCATCGTGCCACAGCCCTCGCGGATCATATTTTCTCCTAGATCACCGCTATGAATCACTGAATGTGGAAAGATTGCAATGGTGATCAATTTCTGATTATATTTATTGATTTAGTTGCTTACTTTTATCTGTTGTTTATGTAATCATCATTTCACTAGCTCATCTTTTATAATGCCTCTCAGGTCCGTTACTCATCCTCATTATATGAGTTATTTTTCAGTACAACAAACCAGCGTGCATGGGCCCTTGGTTTGCGTGAAGCATTATCGAAACGGAATAAATACATATTGTTAGGATGTGAACAACTTGTTGGTGTGTGCATTTTTGTATTTATCAAACCTTCACTTGCTGCTGCTGTACGTGACATGTCCATAAATAGTGTTAAGACAGGTTTGCTCATTTTCTGTGTTAATGGCTATAAGTTGGTAAGCATCAGAAGTATGTGTAAATTATGTCTTGCAAATGATTCAAAATAGTACTTAAGTTTGGCTTGGAATTTGTGTGAATTGCAAATCTTTGCTTATCTTATAGAAACATGCTGATTACATAAAATGCACACATCCACACTTGATTTCCATCAAATTGAACAATAAATTTTATATTTTATAGGAATGGGCGGTACAACAGGGAATAAAGGTTCAGTGGCAATGAGTTTAACCATATATTCTACGACGTTTTGCTTTGTTTGTTCACATTTAGCTGCTGGCCAAAATGAAGTTCGTGATCGTAATGAGGACTACATGAATGCGTTAAGAAAAATCAAATTTTCTCAGGTGGTTAATTTCCCACTTTTTTTAGGGTGATCACAAGTTCATTTGATGAAAATCTGCTTTCGTAATTTTTCCAACGCAGAACCTGTTCTGGATGTCGGGGTACGAGGCTGGCGAAGATTAAGTTGTGTCAAAAGTATGGCACGACATTTATCATGGATGTTACAAATATCCGACAAATTGTTGTCAGACTTGTTAATGGCTTAGCTTGAATAAAATTCGCTCATCAATTTTTACCTCAGGAACGTCCTGAACTTATAAGTGCAACATGGTTTCAGTTGTTATGGTCGAATAAAATTATTACCATCGTATGTTTGGTAGCATCGGTTCCTTAAATCGTCTTTATTTATAATGGATTCAAGGTAGAAGAGGTAGTTGGAGGTGTCTCATACTGATATCGCATACGATATACTTATTTCAATTTAAAATTTTAGGGTCGCGGCATTTTGTCGCATGTTGTTGTATTCTGGCTCGGTGATTTTAATTACCGAATAGTGTTGTCGCGTAATGAAGCTGAAGCAGCAATAAAATCTGGAAATATGACGGAACTTTCTCGTTACGATCAGCTTTCTCAGCAAAAAGCCTTGGGTGAAGTAGGCATTCAATCTTACTAAGTTGTTTGTGATCAAGCTTTGAATATTTGTACATTATTAAAATTATTTATTATTTGATTATTATTATTTAAAAATTATTTGATTTACGAATAAAAAAAATATTATTTGATTAAAAATTATTCGAAATAAAAATTATTTGATTTATTTGATTTAAATTATTTGATTTTTTTTATAAAAATTATTTGATTTACGAAATAACGATTTGTTAGTTCGATTGTTTTTGCAGATTTTCAAGGGTTTCGAGGAGGGACCGTTAACTTTTGCCCCAACTTATAAATATGACACTTTTACTGACGATTATGATACATCAGAAAAATGTCGTGTTCCTGCCTGGACGGATCGAATCCTTTGGCGAGAAACAAATGGAACAAAGATTGTGCATTTGCTAAAGTACATTTTACATTTTTTGATACACTTTTCGAATCTTTTCATTCACTGAAATATTCTGTTATAATTTTTTTTCCGCCATAGACGCGTGCGTAAAACTTTTTTAGTTATGACCGAATAGAACTGAAAACTTCGGATCATAGACCAGTTTGTGCTTTATTCCATGTCGACGCCTATAAAATTAACCTTTCACGGTTTGAATTGGTTTTCAGAGACGTGGTCAGGTATAGTTTATGATTTCAATAATTGATATATTATTCTTAAATAATTTTAAATAAATTTGTTTGGTATTATTCTTTGTCTCTTAACATTTAAATCCAAACTTGCTTCTAAAAATTCATGAGGAATGTTTAGCTCTGGATCTGTTCAGCAAGCCTTGTACGAATAACATTATATATATATATGTATCCATTATTTACTTATCCATTTATATTTATTGATTTATTTATAGTTCAATGGGTCCTCTGGATGGTACTGTGCTCGTATCAGTGTGTAATCTTAATAGTTTCCCTCCGGAATTGCGTCTTCCTGTCATCGGAAAACTTGATCTATTCGGAATATCGCCGTCTATCAGCAAGTTTGTTTCATTACTTGTCCTAACTCCTATGTGGAATTATTTTGTTTAATGGTTGTAGAATAAATTTGTTAAGTTCATTTGCTTATAATGAAACTGAAAAATTATTAATAGAATTTATAATTCAAGTTACTCTTTAGGGTCGAATCTGGTGTGCTATGGTTAATTTTCAATAGTTGTGATATAGCTTTGGCAGCTTTGAGTTTGGATGGAGTAAGGATTGGAGATTCTATCTTAAGTGTTCAGTTGCTAACTCCAGACTGGGCTGAACTGGAATATGCCGAAATGAGTAATATGTTGCGAAACACAAACGAAGACCTAAATATGGAATGTATTGAACTAAGAAATGCGGATAATTTCGAAATTAATGGTAATTTTGAAATCTCGAACTGATGTTAAATGGATTTCAACTTGTTAATGGATTAAAAATATTGTCAAATAAATAATTTGAATAAAGGGGACTGAGTTCTCAATTCCTAACAGAAATCAATTCTCATTTAAATTTAAATGCCCAGATGAGGACGACTTGCCAATGAAAGATGGATTGGGTGATCGGTTGTCTAGACTGAGATGTAATTCTCCAGTGGATCGAAACGAAATGGATCTTTGTCAACTTACTTTGCCGAATGTAGCTCCCAGGTCGGTGTCATCACCTATGCTAAATGATATGCAAATGTATCCCTCAACAAATGACCTTGTTGGAAATATAAATGTTCAACCAAAACAACCAACAGCACTACCAGTATTATTTCCAGAGCCTGTTAAATTTAGCGCAAGCGTATGTGCTCCGCCACCTGTGCCACCGCGAAAGGAATCAACCGGCAAATAATTTTTTTTTGTTTAAAGCTATTATCAAATACCAAAATTTTCCGTCCGAATCAAGAATTCAACTGCGCAGTTATCCAAAATGTTGTAAAATTGAAAGTTAATTTACTGCTTCAAATCGTAGTTTCAATATACTTGCAATATCATTGGTTTTCTATTTTCTTGGAGCAGAGAAAGATCTCCTATTAATGAATGCTTCCAGAACTTATCCACTTTATAGCTGCCAGATTTAGTAAGTTCCAAAGTTCAAACTATGTCGCTTATCCATGTATCTGAACTGTAGTAGTTATAATACGATTCATTTGATTATATGAATATTTTCTTCCTGTATGATTTGTTCATATTTTTTATGTATTTTCAGGATTTTTAGGATCTAGATATTTGAATCCAACGATTCCTTTTTAAGACAGTTTTAGATGATTAGACGTTGGAATAGGAGACTGTTAATTTTTAAAAAATCATAGTATGTGCGAAGAAAAAAAGATTTTTGGTCGGCTAATTTTCAGACGTACATGAACTTGCATCCATGAACTGATTGTTATAACAATTGCTAAATCTCGATCTCAATCAGACGGGATCTTTCGATCTACAATTCCAAACAGATTGATGTATTATTTGCTTGAAAAAATTTACATTTTCTTTCACCGAAGTTGATAGACACTGCCCATATTTCCAAACCATACAGTATATTATTTCAAATGTTATTTCGAAATTAATGAATTTAAATCTGTTGCCGATTATTACCCCTCATCTTCGATAATTCTCTGTATACGGGGATAAAATTTTCCATTTCATGGTGGTATTGGTTGTAGTGATCTTAGCACAAATGAAAATACCATGTTTTCTTATTTCCTATATTAAGTCAGTAAAATGTTTTCATTCTAGAAACTAGGAACAAGTGATCAATCGCAAAACCTGGTAAGGGAGAACATAGTGTTAGCGTGGTGGGTATTTCAGTGGATATACCTCGGTAATTAAATAGCTGTACCTAATTACCGAAACATATCACCCCGGAATTTCTTGCTAGAGTTTCCAATAATACTAGTTGGGAACTGGCGATTTTTGTTAGCAGCGAAGGAATTTATTCTGCTGTTTTTTACCATACATTTATTATAAACCAAATTTAATGGGATTTTTACGAGCAAACAAGCAATGAAGGAAATTACAGGATCAGATGAATTTTACAAAAGGAAGCGAAAATGTGGAAGTGACACCATTTAAAGTCTTTTCCTGACATGGACGGTCAGAGGGACTAGTTTTTGAGATTCATGGAAATAAAGAGTAGGAGTGAAACCCTTCCTAGGCAGATCATCATCACCCTGGAAACTATGAGTTTGAATTCCCCGAACAGATGATTGTTTCGAGATTAGCATGAGACGGGACAAGTGATAAAAAATCAAATATAATTCGTAAATTTAAACTAAAAGATGCCGGAAACACGCAGATCTGGAAACAAAGGCAAGAGGCAAGAGTTGAAATGGAAATAGCCATAGGGGTATCACAGCATGAAGTGAAAAAAAGACCGAAAACAAAAAATGACTAGGTGAGAACGTATCAATAATGTACATCATCGGCTAACTAATTTGGCTTTGGGAATTTTACAATCTTGTTTCGTTCAGTGGTTCACATGTAGCTGACTTAACTCCTACAATATCAACACAGACATTTGGCGAATTTAAAGTCGATCCAGAATCGGTCGAATTCGGATATGTTGCAGAATGAAGGGAATGCAAGAATGTCTCACGTTTCATATTAGCATGCGATGAAGGAGAAGATGGTGTAGTCAGATTTACTGATCCCAAAACGATATCAATTGATTGCTTTTGTTGTTTCAGTGAGATTTTTCTGTTCCTATGAACAGCATCATCCTACAATGTTTTAACATAATCAAACTTCTCTTTCTCCCCTTTATTTGTAAATTATTTAGTTGCTATTAAGATAGCATATTAAACAACTAATTTCATAACTTATTTAAAATTTTCAATGAATTTTCGGGTTTTGAACAATGTGGAAATTAGCTTACTAAAGTTTTAAAAACAATATCATACTAAAATTATGCTACAAGTGAATTTGTTAAAGTAAAACATAACTAGCAATTCATCTTATTCAGATCCACGTAAATCACATAAATGTCTACGATGAGATCACTTACGCTATGTTTGAAAGGAAGTTCTTCATCGTCGTTAACGATAATTTTGTGCAAAAATTGTGATGATTTCGGTATATTAACATCCTTATCTTCGTCTCTATCTTCATTGTAAGTATTACACACATTCCGTCCTTTCGAAATTTTGGGAAGGCCTTCTGGCCTAGATTCAGTGTGCTCCATGCATCTGACCTCTTCTTTAACTTGTTTTAGCGGTGCTACCTAAAATTTCCGACCGTTATATCAGTTCTTTTACTCCCAAATTCTTCTATAATTTTTTATCCAAACTAGACTATGGTTTTAAAGGTTCTTTTTAATGGTTTTTATGGATTATGGTTTTTTTCTTTTTAAAAAAATTTTTTTAACTAGTTTATATACGTTGGTTTTAAAGTTTTCTCTCCAGTTCAATTAAAATTCTGCTTGATTGTTCTGGAATGTCCAAAAACATTTCAGAATAGATAAAACAATGAAAACTAATGAAAATTTTAAACAAACATACTTTGTTACTTCTTTGTGAAAAAAATGTTATTGGTGTGAGCACAGTAGCTGTTCCCTTCTCTGCTAATTGCCGAATAGGTGAAATAATCTTTTGCGGTGAACTGTAATTTCTGATTTAACAAAAATAAAAATGTGCGATTTCACCAAATTAGTGCAGTTTAAATTCGCTAAGAAATAACCGACTAACAACAAACCTTCCGGAATTCACAAGTTGTTCCACCTGTTTGAACAACTCTCCCTTGATAATCAAATCACCAAAGCCCTGCTGATGGGAAAATGCATATCCTGAACGTAATGAAGTTCGACGACCTCGACCAGTTGTCGAATGCGGTACTGCCCTTCAACATTATAAACAAATGCAAATGGTAAACAAAAAAAAAAAAGAAAAAGAAAAAAAAACAACCAGAGTTTGTTAATAATGAAGCTACTAAAAAGGAGCATATCACTAAATTCTGACAAAAATTTAGGAAAAAATCTGATATGAAAAGATTGCATACGTCGTTAATGATTGTGGTTTCTCTTCTTCTACAGAAGTTAAATCCTTCCGTTGCATTCGAAGTCGATCAGCGTACGTTGGATGTGTATCCAACCAGAAGAACCGATGAACAAGTACCGGTAGGAGCAAAATAACGGATACCATCAGAAGAGAAAGCCAAAATTGTAGTGATACAAAAGCTCGGTGCATGATGCCATATGATTGAGCTGATTCAAGTTTTGAAACCAACCTTATGGGTAAAGCTGAAAATTTGGACATACTGTTAAGCAAAAATGTTCAAGTTGATCAGCTTACTGATAAATTCAATTCGTTTCTTAGTTTTAAACTCGAAAGAATAGAAATAATGATTTAGAAATCCGATTAAGATTTGAATATAATTTGAATAAACATAAACACTTTGGAGATTAGCTTTATTTTTAATCTTCAAATAAAAAAAAAAAATTAAGCGAAACAGTTGCTTCCTTTGAACTATCTGAAACATACCGAAAGAACCATTCATATTTTTGAATATATTTTTCAGAAACGTATGAAAATATAAAACAGTAACAAACCTTCGTATAAAATATAGCTAAGAGAAAAATAGAATATCACTGAACCCCAAATAACAATATGATTAAAAATAGTCCAATAACTTGTATCAAATGCTATTTGGCCCGTAACAACAATAATCAATGATGTGAAGCACGTAAATGCTAACAATGAATAATCATTGAAATCTCGGCCTGTTGAATCCACACCGTTGTATAGTATTCCATACGGTACAAAAAATATCACCAAAGAACTTCAAATATTTTTAAATTAAAAATACAATATTTAAAATTTTCTAAGACGTCTTCTAAGGACTGAATTGCTTCTAGTAACTAACTGCTTCTAATATCTTAGTGCATTAATCGTCTCGTTATATTTAATAAATAAATGTAAAATTAAATTCAGAGATTTTTGCCTAAACATTGTAATTATTGTTAAACGTGGAAACAAACGAAATAGTGGAAATGAAAAACCGAAAGAAATCTTTTTTGATCGATAACGAGAAATTCAAAATGTAATAAAATTCAAGTAAGTAACAAGATGTGACATTTAAAAAAGGTTTTGAATATTCCAGGGAAAGATTTGATCACTATTCCTATTTCTCTCTCATGTATTTTCGACTTTTATCCATCTCTTTTCAAAAAGGAAATCCTTCTACAGCAATTTTAGATTTTGCTTGAATATTCACATTGACTAACAAAATCTAAATTACCACGAAAAATTAAGAATTTATCTTTCAAAAATTAGAAAAAAAGAAAAGAAAAGCTTGAAAACATAAAATACCTGATCATACCATGAAGGACAGAATATATAAAAATTCGCATGTTAAAAAATAAATTATATTGACCGGGTATGTAAAGTTTCGCATATTTCATACTACATATATCATCTAGATCTTGATCAAATATGCCCATTGCAAGAACAGGTAATGATGTAAAAAATAAATTATAGCAAGCAATCAAAACTGGATTGTAAATGGACTGCAAAAACGGTAACGATAAATTATGATGTGAAAAGGAAAAAAAATAATGAAATTATTTCCTGAAGCAAAATAAATTTGGCATCAAAATACTGAATTCGGAACATCTCCATCGGAATTTAATTACCACAAGACATGTCAGATAAGTTAAAATTGAATCATACGCTATCTTTTTATTACCAGATCTCAGCTTTCGATAAGGAATAGGAGTAGTAATTCTTTGTCTTCAATTATTTTCCTGAGCTAAATCTAAAAATTACATATATTACCCCCAAAATTTCAAATTTCTTTTAAACAAACTTAATGAACTAGTCTAAACATTAAAGTTTGCATTTATTTCAAAACACAAAATATTTAAGTTCAAATTAAATTCAACAGTACCTGTGCAGAATATCCACAGAAAAAGGAGTACCAAAAGTGTGTAAGTGTAAAAGCGAAATTTTTGTAGAAAAAATATCGCAAGAATTTTGTTATCCTAAAATACGACCAACGACCATGAACGAGCAGAAGCCTTCTCAGATAACGAAATTGGCCAATGCTGTAGTCAGATGCTAACACAGCTTGCATACCTTCTTGTCCTAAAAATCCAAGCATATTAATAAAAACCAAAAACATAACTTTTCATACGTCCTTTCTTTCAAACCTCTTCCGATATCCTTCCGGATTTATTTTAGAGTAAATTGCATGATAGAGTTGTGCCTTAGCTCCAATGGAAAACATTAAATGGCAACCATTTATTTCTCTCAGATCAAACAGCTTGTGTATGAAAACTAAGCCTTTGTTACGATTTACTAAGTTAATCAGTCTCATTGTTGTAATCTGAAAATGCTTATGACTATCAGATAAATTATTTGCAATATCCAATTTTGATGCTACCTGAAATTCCAACTCCAATATGTGCCGTTTTAATCATCGACACATCGTTTGCACCATCACCAACAGCTAACGTCACTGCTTTTTTGTTTCTTTTCACCAAATCAACAACCATTGCCTTTTGAAGCGGTGTAACACGACAACAAACTACTGCCTGAAGGTAGAAAGTGTTCCGTTCCATTTCATCAAATCAACAACTATTTGCTTTGTTTAACACATGAATATGACATGACATGAACATGAACGACATGATAACATGACAATGAAATGATTAAAAATTCATTCAACATTTACACGACATAAGCATCCGATATCCAGAAATGTCCTTTCCAATTCTGCTTTCAAGGCATATGTTAACGATGGTCCATTAACGACCAATGCATAACCCTCTAAATTTTTCCATTCATCAGCGCCAAGACGATATTGCACTTCTGCATTATTCTCTATAACAAGTTAATTTTGGAAATAAATCCCGTAAAAGTTATTTATTTCAAAAGAAGATAAATTCTTCCATCACTTTTTCACATACAATATAATTCTGTGTTTTGCATTTTTTATGCAATCTCATACTATAAATTTTACATGATATAATACGTAAAATGTATAACAAACGTATGTAAAAACTATGAATAAATAGAATGTTGCTGGAAATTAACCATGAATGGAAGCCAAATTTTTGATATCATCAGATCGCAGATTACCGTTACCTGTGACAGTATCACTGGAGTATTGAGAAGCAAATTTCCCGTCGTTTAATAAGGCATCCTGGAATTTGTAGCATGATGAGTTCATGCAATTTCGATTTCATAAGATTTTATTTAGCAGCAAAATTAGTGGTTAATAGCATGGCATTGTGGGCGGCAAATCAATTAAACAGGAAAAATGCAACAGAAAAGTCGTATGCCAGTTCCTGAATTTCATTTTTCCTTCTTGCTTTTGTTTGTTCCATTTTTTTTTTGTTTTTATTTTTCAAAAAATAAAAAATAAATTATGTCCTTAGCATAGCAACTGACAATAGCAACATAAATTTACGAATATGATCAAAGAATAATAGACATACTTTAATGTTATCTATGAGGATAATTTATCAAGTTACAAATAAGCAAGAGTGAATTCCCTCATAATTATTCCATTTTTATTCAAGATCTATTTTTTCATTCAAAATTTGACTAAGCTAAACTAAAAGTCTTATTACTGAAATGGAAAACTGTTAACAATTCATTTGCATTGGATTCTACTATATCACGCACATCTAAATATTATTGCACCTATAATTAGTATCATAACAAACGGAATACAAAGAAATTAGACAGCATTGGAGAATGAAAATTTGTCCGGAAAATGTAAAGAAATGTAGAGAAAATGGGAAGACAAAGTTGTATCAATAATAAATTAGTAAGATACAGTATACACGCATACTTGACATGAATGCATCCCTAATTTTATGGAATCAAAAGCTTTTAGTAAAAAAAAAAAAAAAGAAAAAAAAATTAAAACGCTGGAAAGCTAGATAATTGAGTGGTTAGTAAAATGATTAGCGAGTTTAAAAATGATTTCAACCCAGGAAATTGATAGGTAGTAAAAGAGGTTG